TTTAGATCAAAACCGAAGTTCAGTCTGTCTTACAGATCTATTTCTAAAGTAACTTTCACCTTATGAAAACAAAGTGCTTCCTTTTCATAAGGTGAGTGTTACTTTAGAATTGTCTCTGTTTGATGGATAATGACCAAATGATTCCTTCACATGCACATCATGTGTTACTAATATGCTTGCACACAACAAAGCCAATCATCCTAACCTTCCCCATGGCTATCCTACAATAGTATCTAGGAGCTCCTGATGGTGTTTCTGCAAATGGTATGACCAGGGGGTGGAGGAATTACTTCTCTCGTTCCCTTGAAGCAGCAGTTTATATCTAATGAAACTTAAATATTCAGTTCTTAGGAAAGGATGAGAGAAATTCTTGCGAATATTTCTATGTCGTCTTGAAAATCAAACTGGAAAGAACTTTTGTTGAAAGGAACTTATGTATCAAATCTTAGTGTTTCTAATTAGAACACATTGTAATGTACCCTATACATTATAATTTATATATACATCAACACGTATACAGAATTTAAATAGTAAGATTGTTGCATACAGTTAGATTAGGATATAGATAGATACTATCTATCTATCTATCTATCTATCTATCTATCTATCTATCTATCTATCTATCTATCTATCTATCTATCTATCTATCTATCTCTACTTACCTACTTACGGTACCACCTATGCATTTACATATAATTTATATTCTGGATCTTGAAAAGATTTGCTAATGGATGATAATGTAGTTACAATATTTTGTAGATTGTTACCACTAATGCAATGTAGTTGCCAGGCTCTAGCAGTTTCATTTCAAACTGCTTGAGTTATAGATTGCATGACCTCCATCCAGGATGCCTGTTGATTTAGGTAAATTATGTTTTAAATCATTTACTGTATGTCTCTGCTTATAAGAATTGCCTTCTTGGGAGCTAATCCAATACAAGTGAGTGATTCAGAATGTTGAATCAGTTTGGGTTTTTTTTCTTCCCCACTATATAAGCAGCAAGGAAATAAGAAAGTAAAAGTTAAAAGTTGCAGCCACTTTTTGTTATAGCCACCTGGAGAAAGTTTAGGTTTTTTTCTAATGGGCAGAAAGGTCCAGTGTTAGAGAACCCCGAAGAAGGAAAGAGTAATTTTTTCCAGTTATAGCTAAGTTTCTGTAGTTATAAAGATATTGGAAAAAAGGATTGGAGATCCAGGTTCAAATTTGCCTTTAGCTCTAGAAACTCAGTAACTTTTGGTCAGTCAACTCCCAGTTTGACCTACTCTATAGGACTGTTAAAAGAAAGTTGAAAGACACTGTGCTGGGTGTATTTTGATATTTTGGGGAAGAGCAGAGATTAAGTCTAATCAGTCAATCATTCCAATTTATCCTTACCTCTTTCTCATCTGCATATAGGTAATCCTTGACCTATGACTATTCTTTTAACAACTATTTGAAGTGACAGAATGGAGGAGCTAAGCCAGGGGTAGGCAACCTTGGCTCTTTTATGACTCGTGGACTTCAACTCCCATGCTGGCTCAGGAATTCTGGGAGTTGAAGTCCACGAGTCATAAAAGAGCCAAGGTTGCCTAGCCCTGACTAAGCTAAGAGACATGATGTCTGTGGAGATTCTCAGTCATCCAGGGCATGGTTGCCTCAAAGGTGTTTTTTCAAAAGGCACCTGGACTTTGGTTTTTCTTGAAGACTTTTTGCTTCTTATGCAAGAACCTGAACTGAAGAAGCTTCTTGGATGAGAAGCAAAATGTCTTCAAGGAAAACCAAAGTCCAGTTGCCTTATGAGACATGATGTTGAGACTGAAAGAGAAGGGAAGTATATAGTTCCCTTACAAGCAAGAGCATTTGTAGATAAAAATAATCAGCAAACGTGAACGGTTGTTATAGGCCATTCAGAGAAGCATGTTCTTAGACAGCCTTGTAAAAAGCATGGGAAAAAGAAATTAAATAGCTTTAAAGAGACCCCATCTTCATGAACTCACTAATACAGGTAGTTCTCGACTTACAACACTTCATTTAGTGACCGTTCAAAGTTACAATGACCCTGAAAAAATTGACTTATGACCATTTTTCACGCTTACGACCGCTGCCGCATCCCTGTGGTCATGGGATCAAAATTTGGATGCTTGGCAACTGGTTCATATTTATGACCGTTGCAGTGTCTGGGGTCATGTGAACAGCTTTTGCGACCTTCTGACAAGCAAAGTCAATGGGGAAGCCAGATTCACTTAACAACCATGTTACTAACTTAAGAATTGCAATCATTCACTTAACAATTGTGCCCAGAAAGGTCCTAAAATGGGGCAAAACTCACTTAACAAATGCCTAACTTAACATCATAAATTTTGGGCTGAATTGTGGTCGTAAATTGAGGACTACCTGTAATAGAAGGCTGGAGTATTCCAGTCTCAGTTCTCATGATTTTGTACTCTGCTCCCTTATTTTTGGCAGTCATTAAAATAGATACTCTGAATTTAGGCAGTTTGGCTGCTGAAAATCTCCAGGTTCCAGAAACTGAAGAACTCTGAGGTAATGGGAGGATCACCAAAAATGGAAGATGATCGTGTTTTAATGGAACTTTTGTACCCAATCAGAGAGGATCCAAAAAAGATCTAAGAAGATCATTGTTTTGCTAGTTGTGTAAGATTGATAACCAAGCATAATTAAAGCCCTAAATTAACTGGGGGGAGGAGTTAGTAATACATAACTAACTGTAAACATTTTGATACAGTATATATTAGGCACACACTAACATAGTAGCAGTAGTGCTACTTTACATGGAGCAAATTAATCATTGGAGGAAAGAAGGAAGTAAATCATAACTCCTTTACTGCATGCCAAGTTTCTTTGAAAGCAAATATAGGAAGAGACGGAGGGAATATTGTCTGTTTCTCTATTTAAATTAAATGTGGTTTAATGATTTATCTTTAGATCTGAAAGAGAAACTATGACTTTACTATCTCTTGAATTATGCCACAAAGACAAATTTTGTTTACAAGAATCTCTTTTCCATACTGGAATTTTTCTGGTTGGATCCTGAGGGCCTAATTGCGCCCTCCCCCCCGGACAAATTATACTGGCTTAAATATTCATATGACAAAATGAGCCAAGGGGTATGAATAAGTGCAACAAAATGTGTTACAGAGCCTTACAAATGATGTTACTTTTCATTTTGTGAATGAATGTGGAATTAGCTCTCTTTTTTTTTCCAGTAGAGCAGTTAGTTCTGCATTAATATATTAGATAAGGCCAAACAAAGGTGCATAGAACTTAATTTGATTATCTGCTCCTGCCTCTTTCCTCTACCACAGCTCTTGGTGGTTTCCCAAAAATGAGGGAACTGAGGGATTTCACAGGGTATGTTTGCAAGTGAATTGGGTGGGATCAGGCAACAAAGAATTAAAGAGAATTTGCCAGAACAATCTTATCAATGTGCTTTTCTACTTAAGCAAGACATTTGTAGATCCAGCCCACTATGGATTGCTTCAAAGCATCGTAGCCTCTATTAAGACAGCAGGAGAACGAGGGATACAATATTTATGTATTTGCTTATGGATAAATGCCACTTGCACCATTTATAAAAATTACAAGGCAACGTAAAGCAATCATTAATAAACCTTAATAAAAAAAAGCCATGGAAGGCACCCCTCAAGTATACCATGCATTTCATAGAAGCTACAAATAATTTACAAATTCTTGGCAGAACACTAGGTTTTAGATGGGATAAAAAAAAAAAAAGTTGGCTTGATGCATGTCTTCGGGTTACCAATTCCATATTTAGAATTACCTATCACCATCTCATATAATTTCTGCAATGGGTCCTTGTCCTCCAGAATTAAAAACCCAGATGTATTATTAGGACTGACCCAGGTATGTCATTCTCCAAACCTTTGCATTATTTATTGTAACCATCTTCATCCTGGCTGGTGAGAATTTTCTCCTTAAATTCATTGGGCATAGTGTCCTTTTTGGTTCTGCTTGAAAACAGCACTCCGTTCTGTGCACAACTGTGCAGAAATACATTTAGAAAACGATCTAAGTTACTTTATTATTTATATTAATGTAATGCATATGGTGAACCGGTTTTTAAATCTTATTTTGAGGAACGATCACATTTACTCAGTGATCCAGTCCCAAACTATGTCAGAATTATTATTTGGTGGTTTTTTTTTTAAAGGGGGGGGGAGCTGATCTTGTAATTTATGATTTTAATGAATAATTAAGTCCTATTGGTGAACAAGGCGATATGATCCAGTTTAAGTATAAAACAAAACTCAGGGGTACACACACACACACACACACAGAGAGAGAGAGAGAGAGAGAGAGAGAGAGACAGACAGAGAGAGAGAGAGAGAGAGAGAGAGAGAGAGAGAGAGAGAGAGAGAGAGAGAGACTGTACACTAAATAAATCATTGCTCCCTTTTTTCTGGAAGTACAATTAAGCCATGAATGAAGGAAAAAAGTATATTTTGGCCAGATACGCTTAAAACTCCAAATCAAGTTTTTATTGTTAAGCAAAGATTTGCAGACAGGGTTCTGGGTCTGGAAAAGATGAGTGTTGTGCCAGATTGTTCAGGGACTTAGGCTGTGTATATTTCTTCAAGTGATTCAACAAAGATTCATGGCATAGCCTAGATTCCAAAACTCCTAGGCAAGCTGACAGTTGCAAATATCCTTTCCTTTTGACAGCGTGTGTCACTGTAAGGGAACTGGTCTCTCTTTCGATATGTGCAGGCACACGCATACGGTAAGAACCTTTTCCAGTAATTCTCTAGGATCTGAACATAGGAGGAAATGTGCTCTACGTTCTAGTTGCTCCTTTACAAAAAAGCAGTTTCCGGACTTTGGACTGAAGGTATGCGAAGTGAGTGTCACAGCTTTTTGTGTCAATAAGAACTGATTTGCATTATTGTGTAAAGGAAAGTTAAGAATTCAGTGACTCGTGATATCAGAAATCTAACTGATTTATATATTATTATTTTTTTGCCATCTTTTTCTTAAACAGATTCGTTGGTGGTATATATTGTCATTATGAGATGTTGTCTCTCGGTGCTTCATTTGTGCAAATTAAATTCGATGACCTGCAGTTCTTTGAAAACTGTGGTGGCGGAAGTTTTGGGAGTGTATATCGAGCCAGATGGCTATCTCAGGACAAGGAGGTGGCTGTGAAGAAGCTGCTTAAAATAGAAAAAGAGGTAAGGCCCTGAGCATTACATTTACATTTTGAACTGGAAGTTATAGCCCCAGCTCTTTGCTTTTGGTGTTTCTGAATTCTGTGATGTTTGTTTCCTTCAATTGTCAAAGCATATAATACTGGAAGACTCTACTATTAACAAAAATCAGAAAACCATTTTACAATTGGGTAGCCAAATACTTTTGATAGAATAAATTAATTAAGCCTCAAATAAAGTTAATATAGTGAGCATGTATTAAACCGTAAACATAGAAAACAATATGTTAATGAGTCAAATCGTTTTCACTTCCTGATTTTTAAGCAAATGTGCCATGTAAACAAGATGCTCTATCTTTTGCTAAAATAGTGCTGTTCCAGGATTGGGGTTTTTTGTACTTGGATATAAAGTGACTTGTCATGTTGGTTTTCCTGGGAATCACATGCTTTTTTTATTGGGACAAGGTTGAAGGCCTGGTGTGCAACATCGTATTTCAGTCAGACTTGTATTTTTGGAAATGTGTTGTAATACTAACAGGCATTCCCAATAAGAATCTACCCTTCCATTCTAAAGCAAGGCAGTACCGTTAACGCTCGTGAAGCACCTGTCCAAGGAAATTGTAGTAATGAATATTTCTTGAGTTGGATGAGGGTGGTGATGGGGCTCTGTGCATAAAGGGGTATCAAGGTTCCTCCTTAGCAATAATATATGTAGGACTAGTTCCTGATATAGAGATAATACGTCCACACTATGAAGAAAGTGGCTTTAGTAGAAAGAATATGAACGTTACAGTACTTTTAACATCTCGGTCTTTCTATATTTATTTCATTGCAGGGAAATAGTAGTAATAGTAGTCTTGACGGAAAAAAATTGCATGTTATGGGCAGTATTAAATTCACATCTCCAATGATTAGCCAGAATAGTAGGTCTCAATTCTATATGGATTAACTAGACCAGTGATGGTGAACCTTTTAGAGACCGAGTGCCCAAAAACTGGCCCTGCCCTCGCTCCACTCCCTGCCCCGCCCCCACCCCGCCTGCCCGCAGAGCCACTCACCACCTCCAGGGCCCGCCACAGATCTCCCAGGCAGCCCAGCAGTGCCATGGTGGCCACACCCTCTGCCCGCGCCCCGCAGCATCAACTGTGTGTGATGGGGCGTGAGGGCAGAATCTTGTCTACGCTGTCTGGCTGCCATGTCCTTGGCTGTGCTGCTCCGTGTGGGCCACGCTTGGGGGCAACTCTCCTCCAGGGGGGCTGCTGGTGAGGAGGGGGTCACGGGGGGAGGCAAGGCTTGGGCAATGGCACGTGTGCCCACAGAGAGGGCTCCGAGTGCCGCCTCTGGCACGCATGCCATAGGTTCGCCACCACTGAACCAGACAGTAAACCAAATTGATTAGTTCGAAGAGAGTAAACCATTTGTTTAGTTCTAAGTTACAACAGCACTGGAAAAAGTGACTTAGGACTGTTTTTCACACTCACAACTGCTGCAGCAACCCCACAGTCACGTGGTTAAAATTTAGGTGCTGGCCAGTTTTTATGACAGTTGCACGGTTCCAGGGTCATGTGATCACCCATTTGTAACCTTCCCAGACAGCTTCCAACAAGCAAAGTGAATGGGGGAACGATCACATGATTCCCTTAACAACTGTGGCAAAAAGGCTGTAAAATGGGGCAAAAGTCAGTTAACAACTGTCTTGCTTAGCAACAGAAATTCTGGGCTTGATTCATCATCAGCAAACCAAATTACAAAGTTCTTACTAAATGTTCTCATTAAACCAACATTCCCTTGGTTGTCTTGGAGAATTTAAAAAAAAAATCAACAAAGTAGTAAACACAGTAAAACAGATAAAATACAACAAAATCAAGTTTTAAGTAATCTTAATATCTGTTTTGCAACATGTATAGCAGCCAGTGTGAGACTCATTTTCTTAATATCATTTATTTGTTATTTAAAAAATTGGTATGTTTGAAACTGAGAACTGAACAAGTATTTGAAATGTTGAACTGTATGCTGAAGAAAATTCATTTAAAGTTTATATCAGCAAACTACTTCAATTTTTATGAAACAGTTGTTACAGTATAATATAAAATAGTTATCATAATCATAATAATAGTTATGATTATTTGTATTTCTCAGGATCACCACTTCGCTTGATATTTTGTTTTAATTATTCATTATTAATTTATCTCCTGACTTTCTATCTATATGGCATTTTAAGTCAGCTTAAATAATTAAAAATGCAAGTTCCAAACATTAAGAACAAAAACAGTACAGTTAAATTTAAAGCAGCTTTAGTAAATCCAATTCAATTGTCTACTGTCAAAAATTGCTTCTGTAGAGGTCTACTCCAAAGTAGGTTTAATTGAGTTCAGTGGAGCTTCCTAACTGAGTGGAATAGAAATGCACCCCCCAAAATTAAAGGACCTTATTTGATATTCCAGATTTTTTTTTCTTTTAAAGACTTTGCAGTCCCTTGCATTGGAGGGGAGTTGGGACAACTGAATGGAGCTGAGTGTTTACTGGCTGGATGACCTCCCTGATGCTTCCCTGACGCCTATGCCACTACCTAGGATCAAACTCATAGCCTCCTCATTGTGAGGCGAGAGCTCTACCTCTAGGCCACCACACCGCTCACCTGATATTCCCAAATTAATTAAACCAAAATTTCTGTGCTCTATTGCATCGGTTCCCAACCTTTCCAGCTTGGTGGCCCAGCCCAGCCCAGCCCGGCGCAGTGTGTGTGTGTATGAGTGGTAGGCACATGTGCGTGCACAGCTCCATTTGTCATGCGAATGGAGCTTCGGACGCAAGCTTGCACTGGCCTGCGAAGCTCCCCTCACACAAGCACCAGGCAGTTGCGCTTGTGGGAGTGGAGCTTTGCGCATGAGCACATGTGCCCTCCTCTCATGTGAGTGGAGCTTCACACGCACGCACTTGCTTACTTCTCCCACAGCCTGGTTTCGAACAGGCTGCGGCCTGGGGTTGGGGACCCCTGTTCTATTGTGGGTCATGCAAGTAGACATCTGTTTGCACACTGTGGCTTCTTTTTACTTTGCTTTCTCCTCTCCTTCCCAAATCTGCTTTAAGGTGGTCCCACGCTCAATTGAAGGAATCATGCTGCCTAGCACAAAGACAACTATTCTTCACTTTGAAGCATGCTTCTAAAAATATCTCTAAATGAAATAGAACTATAATTTTCGTTGCTTAGAGTAGGCAGTTCAGTCATGTCACCTGTGTTCCTCTCTAATTCATAAATTAAAGGGCTCACCTAGCTTCTTCTTCCTAATCTCAATAAAGCTGAACAGAGTCCTATTTAAATAGAAGACCACCAGGAAATTTTAAGATTGTAAGTTAGATAGGGAAGCTGGAAAAAAATATATATATATAAAGAAGTAGTAACAAACTGTGGCTATGTTGCTGCTAAGAAATGTACATGAATATGTTCATTAGGTGTCAAGACCAACCCAAGGAAATTCTTAGCGTTCCATTTTTAATTTAATTCAGATTGCAAATGTCTATGTCCCTCGCAGACCTAAATATCCTCAAATTACTTGTGAAATTCAGCCTTAATATGCCTCCATTATTAGCTGAAGGTTAATAATTTCGTTTATGATTGGTTGTGACTTTTTACTTTAAAATCATTGAGATGCCACTGCAGTTCCTTTCCATAAATACACTTTTGGCAGTCAGTTTGGAGCCTGTTTCATTCTTGGAAAAATTTAATTAAAATGCTCTGCTTGTTGTTGTTTGTTACCAGCAAATATAAGACTTATATGGGTCATGGGAATTTCATGAGCTAATAGAAAAAAAAATATATTTTTAGATAAATTGAGCAGTTTTGTAATCTGAGAGTAGGGTGGTTGTATATATTGTCTGGGTTCATGGAAGTGTTAGAATTATGTGTATCTGACATGTTTAATTTAATTTATAGCACATTGTCAAGAGATCCACACTAGCAGCTTATCCTGTTTATACAGTAGATTTGCAACAAGAAATTTCAGCCTCGGTATCCCACCGTAGGAGGGATGTCTTGGTCTATGGTGGCCAAAAAAAAAAAAAAAAGGAATCTGGCAGTACTTTTTCCAAATAATTAATTAAAATAAGTATAAGCTTTTGTGAGTTGCAGCTAACTTCATCACATACACAGAGTGACTAGATTGATGAGGGCAAGAAAAAAACAAGAGGAAAAAGGTGTGGAGGAAAAATCAGGGAAGAGAGATTAGTTATGTAGAAACATGCTATATGTACCAGATATTACAAGTACCCTGTCGGTTAACAATTTGAATATGTTCAATATGTTAAAAACTCACTGTATATAACAACGGCTTGCTTGATGGTGCTGTTAAAGTCCAGCTTTCCCAAAACAGCAACTTTTAAGTTACTTTTCTGTAACTTTTTAAGTGTTCTGGGAGGTTCAAATGCTTTGATAATTACTTCATTCTTGCTTGATTATTGATGTCAGTCTATGCAAAGTTTGTCTATTTTTCCCATATAGAATCCATATGGGCATTGCTACAGACGATGACTTACATCACAGTGGAGGAAAAGCTTCTAATCTTGTGGGTGCACTAATTGTGGTTTGTCATGGGGCTGTTGGTGTAGATATGGGGGCACAGTAGACATGTAAGTTTGTGGGAGAGGGAGAGTGAATCTTAGGGTGAGAAATATCTGAGGTAACTTTCAACTAGATACACTAAGAGATGGAAAGAGTGGTGGCAAGTACTAATGATAGCTGAATGAGTACAGGATGAAACGTATGAGTAAAAATGCAGAATTGTAAAGACAGAGTTGGAAGGCCATTGAGTTCCCAAGTGCTCCTCCTAGTTCTTCTTCCTTGATTATGTCTTCTCTGTTGGGTTGTGTCAGGTCAAGAATACTGTATCTCATTCTCTTAAACCAGGGGTAGGCAACCTTGGCTCTTTTATCACTCGTGGACTTCAACTCCCAGAATTCCTGAGCCAGCATGGCTCAGCTTGGAAACCTCTCCCTTTCCCCTCAGCATGGCTGGCTCAGGAATTCTGGGAGTTGAAGTCCACGAGTCATAAAAGAGCCAAGGTTGCCTACCCCTGTGTTAAACCCTTTTCCACTCACCAAAGGAGAAAATTACTGGAAAGGCAACTGAGGAATTTCCTAGAAGCACAATGCTTGGCAATGTTTGTCTCCCACCAAATGCTGGAATAATTGAAGTCCCCACCAATACTATATCATGTCTTGGTCAAAGATTTACAATTTATTTTTGGAAGCATTTTCTCCATAGTTTTCTGGAAATAAGTAAATAGCAACAATAGCAGTGTTTCTGCATCCTTCCATTCATTTAATCCACAATTTTTAGCACAGTGAAGTTAATTCATTTGCAAGTAAAGTATACTTCCTTCTTTTATTACTTCTGTTGTTGTTGTTTTTTGTGTGTATGTGCGTGTGTGTTTTGAACAAATCTGCTTTATTCCATTTTGGGGTGTCATTCCACCAAGTCTCCATAATACTTTTAATATTTGCTTTTCTATACTGAAAAGTCATTTTCATCTTCTTTATTTTCTATATTCTGGTTACTGGTACTATATATAGATAGTGAAGCAATGAAGCTTATGAGCTAAAGTTTCTTCCTTACTGATTTTTCTTTTGTTTTACTAAACCCCATTATCACAATATTCCACTTTTCTTTTATAGTTCACAAAGAATTTCTAAAGAATTTAGTTTAAACCCCAGGTTTTCCCATATTTCAGTGAAATATGTGTTTGTGATTCTTGTGAGGTGAGGAAGTCCATTACTGTACAGGTAGTCCTCAAGTTACAACCATTTTCATTATGCTTGCCTCCAGAAATCGTGGGCACTCCATCACTGGAGATTTTTAAGAACAGACTAGACAATCACTTGTTTGAAATGGTATAGGTTCTCCTGCTCGAGCAGGGGGCTGGACTAGAAGACCTCCAAGGTCCCTTCCAGCTCTATTCTATTCTAAATCATAATGGTTGTAAAACAGGTAAGTTAGATGACCAGCCCGATTTTATGATGTTTTTTGCGGCAGTTGGTAAGCCAATGTGGCGGTTGTAAGAATGAACCCATTGTTTCTTATCAGCATGGTTTTGCTGAAAAATAGAAATAAGTGCCGTTTTTCTGCAAAACCATTGTAAAATGTGGTCACATGATGGCAGGACATTGCAAATGGCCGTAAATGCAGCCATGTTGTTCAGTGCTTGAAGTCTGGACATATGACTTCAGGCTGGGGCCTCTTGCCCATTGGAACTTCAGATCTTGGTCATAAGTCCTCTTTCTCAGGTAATTTGTAACTTTGAACAGTTGCTAAATGACCAGTCATAAGTTGAGGACTACCTCTAAAGGAAATAAGACAGGAGGAAGACAGCAGTCAGATAAGAGGGGCTTGAGCCTGGGCCAAAAAATTAATTTGACTAAATGTCTTGGACAAGTCCCTTCAGAGTTCCCAGAAGATAACACGAGGGGTGGGGGAGGTAAATTCAGACTTGCAACCTATACCGTATAGGTTGCATATATTTAAGTTTATACTTAAGTTTCTTAGTCTTGACTTCCTTGTTGGGCTGAAAATCATTCAGATCCAGAGACCAAATCTATGGATACCTCTGATTCATATAATTCAAGTTGTGTTCCTACAGACCAAAATAAATATATTTTAAAAGCAAGTATAAGCTGGAACAACTTGACTCATAACGCAATAAAATTAGACGAAGATCCTATACTTTCAAAGGTGGATGCTGGTTATAGAAAGAGATAAGGTCTTGAAATATAGGTAGTCCTCCACTTACAACAGTTCACTTAGTGACCGTTCAAAGTTACAGTGGTACTGAAAAAAGTGACTTATGACCTAATTTCAGACTTATGATCGTTGCAACATCCCCATGGTCACGTGATTAACATTCAGATGCTTGACAACTGACTCACATTTATGATGGTTGCAGTGTCCCGGGGTCATATGACCATCTTTTGCCACATTCTGACAAGCAAAGTCAATGGGGAAACCAGATTCACTTAACAACCAGGTTACTAATTCAACAACTGAAGTGATTCACTTAATAAATGTGGCAAGAAAAGTCGTAAAATGGGGCAAAACTCACTTAACAAATTTCTCACTTAGCAATATATATTTTGGGTTCCATTGTGGTCGTAAGTTGAGGACTATCTGTAATGGGTAGCTAGTAAGAATTTTTTTAAAAAATGAGAAAGTAAAAAGAGTTTGCAGCTTAGCCTGATTCCTGGAGAACTGTCATGATTCCGACATATGAAACTCTTCAAAGAACTTTGAAGTATTGTTTACCTTAAAGAATCTTTATTCGAGTAGCATAGCACTGGCAAGTACATAGGCAAAGCCAAAATCTGAATTACCCTCCTCTGAGCACATAATATCAAAGCACAATTCCCTCCTCTAGTTAACTGTCATAAATCACATTCTCCAATTAGTTTGAAATGCAGGCTTTCCCTCCAGTTCTTCAACCCGCCATTTCTTATCATCTGTTATTTCAAAAAAACCTTGGTTCTCACACTAGTTACAATATTGTTATGTCTAACTAAACTCCCATGCACATTCCTCCCCCCCCCCAGTATCATCTATTTCTAACTCTAATTCTAAGAGTAAAACAAAGTAAAGGAAAATGGCTGCATCTCCATATGTTGTCAAAGCAAGAACATCCGATGTTCACAACAGTAAAGGTTCCAGGTTCCGGTGATGTCTCGTACAAGTAGAGACTTCTGAGATATTGGTGGGTCAGAGAGCATTCAGGCTTGGCTAAACTCCAGGGGATTTTAGGATTTAGGTGGCTAAGAAATAAGTGCTTATGAATGGAGCAATCTGTGTTAGCCAGAGAAGATTGCTGGGTCTGAGTGACATGCAGCCTAATAGGCATTTGGGGGAGAACAGAAATTATGCCAAGTGTACACAATTCCCTTCCCCCCTCCCCCGCTTACTTTGTCTTTTCCAAAAAGACAGTAAGCTGCCAGATAAATTGACGCAGTCACAAAACATCTGTTTACAGTGTCTGAGGTTGAGGAATATAGCTATGTGAGTAAATGGTTGAAGTTGCTGAAGTTTTCTCCACAACCGCTTCTCCTCAAAATTACCTCAGGCTAGAGCAGACATGTCAAACACAAGGCCCGGGGGCCGGATGTGGCCCGCAAAGTGGTTTCATGTGGCCCGCGAAGCCATCCTGGAAACAGTGAGGGAACGGCCCCCACTGCCTTGGCCCTGGCCCAAGCCAGCCGGGAGCCAATGTACAATTTTGTGGTGGCCATCTTGGCACTTGCCCCGGTGGACCCTGCCTTGGCACTTGCCCTGGTCCCACCCCGTTCTGCCAGAAACCCTCAGATCTGTCCCACTCCTGCCCAGGTCCCCATAGGCACCCTTGACGTGAACAATGTAGAACTGGCCACGCCCACTCGGCAGGCCACACCCACTCCATCCACGCCCCCCTCCAGTAGACTGCACCCACTCTGGCCACCACCCCCCAGGGCAACCGCAATGCTGATGCGGCCCTCAGTGAAATTGAGTTTGACACCCCTGGGCTAGAGCAATAAAGGATATTCTAATGGTCAGTCTTTGTAAATGTTTAGAAAGTGATTATTCTTTTCTAATAAAAGCTAGGAACTAGACAAAATATTTGTTATCTTGAGCAAAATGTATAGGGAAAAATTAAATGGAATAATAATGTAATGCAGTTGCCGACTCATAAAGTCCCTCTGTGCTTACACTTTCTGCCATTTAAGATTTGTCTGCAGAAAATTTCCTTTTTAAGAGAGCAGCATAAACAGTTATAAGGAAACACTGAGCACCTGTTTATGTTAACTGGGCAGTGAACAGATGCAGAAAAGGCTACCACTCTGGTCACTCTTGTACAAATATATAATCACAGGAACTGCTTCATAGGAACACGAATCTGTAGGAATGATATAATGCCATTCTATATATGATTACTGAAGTCAGATTATTATATATATAGAGATGGAAAAATTTGACTATGAAGGAATGGTTGGTGTAAATGACAGATAAAATAACAGATATTGTTAGGGAAAAAACAATATTTACATTGATTGGTGACTGGAAAATTCTTATGGACATTTTGCATAAAGATGAAAAAAATGAACTTGTGTCATAGCTTTGATGATTACTTAGGATAGATTATAGTAAGGAGAGTATTATAATGTCACTTTAGAGAAACAAGTGAAAATATCATTTGCTTATAACTTCTGTGAAGAATATTGGAAGCCATTTTTTCATATCTTTTTGCTTTTCTTTTGTATCTATTTTTCTTTAACTTTTTTATTTTGTTTTATTTTATGCTTTCTATTTGACTTATTTCTTTTCCTTTTTTCCTCTTACTCTACATTAGTTTGCCCTAGTTTTTATCTTCTCTTTTTGAAAGTATTAATAAAAATGATGTAGAATAAATTAAAGAAGGAATGATCTAATGCAGGAATAGTAACACACTAGTGTAGATTAGTGTAAATATGATGCTATTGTTTTTGAAGAAATGCTATAAAACTTGGGTAGGATAATTACACTGATGGAGGCAGATTCTCTGCCAACTTTTCAGTTTATTCTACTTTCTGTGGATTCATTTCTGCCATTCCCTTCATACTTGCTGTTCTTGCAGTAAAAATGTTGTATCATCCACTTCTTTAAGAATTTAGATTAATTCAAGATTAATTCAAAAATTTAGATTAATTAATTCAGACACTCCAGATACAATTATTCTAAAGAGAGTAGTGGAACTCATCTTGAGATGGATGCTGGAGCAGCAAGACTTTAGTTTCAGCAAAACATATTGCCAAATAACTATGATGAATGTGTATGTTAACGTAATAGTGCATATTCAACATCAAAGAAAGGAAGAGCAATGGACAGGAAAATGAGAAGCATAAGACTGCCTCAGGAATTAGTAAAGTCCATTTATTTTCATATAGTACATGCATTTTCATTAAAAAATCAAAGCAGTGCACTGTACAGCAACAGAATATGAATTATAGTACAGATTTTGCTACCATCTTGAATTAAGTTCAGCAGCGTATGAACAAAATACCAAAACATGAATAACTGCATTTCCTACATCAAATAAGATATGATATTAAATTGTTACTTTTTTATTAATGTGATTGACAATCTAATCTAAATTATTTAAGTGTACACATCCAATTTTTGTCATCACAATACTGCCATTATATTAATTTTTATCTTTGATGACCTTATATATTATCAAACTGCTGCATTTTATAATCACATTTGCACTCATCTTTCTGAGTGAGATAATATGCGAAGGCTATAGAAATATGTATTCGTATATCAGATTATGTTGAGAACTTAATGTTTCACACTATGTACAGGTGGTCCTCATTTAACAACCACTCTTTCAGCAACTATTCAAACTTACAATGACACTGAATGAGTGTAGTTACAACCAGCCTTCACACTTACAGCCATTGCAATGTCCCCGTGATCATTTGTTCGCAATTTGCGATCCTTCTCATCAGCTTCTGGCAAGAAAAGTCAATGGGGAAGCTGGCAGGAAGTTGCAAGTCACAATCGTGTGAGGTCCTTACTTAATGACCCATGAAGTTCTCGCTTAACGACATCAAGCAGGAGTGCCAGAACTGCTGTGAATAAGCAGCGCAGCCATGTCGGTTTTAACCTTCAACCGTGTTGCTTAAGGACAGAATTTCCAATCCTAATTTGCATTGTTAAGCGAGGACAACCTGTATTTTCCCTCTGCAATTAACTACATAGGGCAATAAACCATTTGTGATATGATCTAAAATACAAATTAGAGTACACATTGTAGAATGGGGTGAGAACTTCTTGGGGAAATCACTAAAGGTATATATAATTCTTATAACATGCTTAAGCCATCAGAATGCCTAGGGCCAACGGAGAACTTGTAGAAGTCAAACTGTGTCTACAAATAATGGCCCCATCAGAGCCTGGTTTGGAGGAAGAGGATGAGTTGGAACCGGGACCATCCGACAAGGATGGCACGTCTTCCTTGGAATGTTTGGAGAGGCCAGGGGCTGAGGCAATGCTGCCCCAGGCCTCTCAGACATTGGGGGAGGTGGTCGACTGGAGGAAGAGCTGCCTGCCCTTACAGACACAGGGGAGGATTGGCTGCAGACAGACAGTGGTGCTGATAGGCAGCAGATCCCCTCTGATGGGGAACAGCTGCCTCCCCTACTCAATCCAAGGACACGGAGAGTACAGTGGAGGCAAGCTCAAAGGAGGGCTGCGAGGCTACTCGGGAGAAGGTTGCCCCGCTCCTCACAAGGAACACTTGGCGTAGGTTGTCTTAAGAAGAAGACGGGGTGGGGGAAATTTGTCTTTGTCAGGAACAACTGTTTGCTTTGGTTTACACTCCCCCTGGCTTTGACTCGTGCTCCTGCCTTTGCCTTGCCTTTGCCTTGTGGACCTGCCTTTAGCCTCATGGACTTGCTTTGCCTTGTGGATTTGCCTTTGGCCTTGTGAACTTGCCTTGCCCTTCGTACCTAGACTCTGGACCTTTCCCTGTGAGCTTCTACCTTTTCTTTGGACTTTCTTTGTTGTTTACTGGCTTTTGTTTGGGGGACTGAGGATGGCTGCCTTCAGGGTAGTGTGGAGTGGAGCCTTACGAGCCGTTGTAGGGGCGTTGGTTGTGCCATTTAATCAGAGCAGTTAAAGGACTCAATGCCTGCCTCCGCCTAGGTGACCTAACTGATCAGGTGAAATTGTTTGTTGATTATAACCTAGGACCTTACATTCCTGCCTATGCAAGGTTTTTCAAGGCTTTTGGTTTGGTGTTTGGACAGCTGTCCAAAGATATTGAAGAGGAAAATTGCAATTTCCTTCATTTTCCTTCCTTCTGTGTGGATCTATACAGTTGCATATTCTAGGCCGTGCAGATCTCTTATTCTTCACTATGGGATAAATTTAATTAATAAGAACAAAAACCTGATTTTGGACATAATGCAGGTCAGGAAAGGTCACTTACAAACTTGTCTGATGTATTTCTTACTTTCTATGCATCCAAGTGAGAAGGAGGAACAGGGGAGAATGAATTATCGTTATGTAACGGACATGGTCTGAATTGGCTACCAGTTTTTTTATCAACAAGTTACAAGATCAAGTCTGTACAGTTTGTGTTCCGGGCCCCCGGTCTACGTCGGACGCTTCACCAAAGTACACCGGGTGCTTCGGTAGGACCTTTGTTACTCCCTTGCTGGGGGTGACGGAACCGGGACCGGGTCGGCCGGAGGAGCCAATGTACAATTTTGTGGTGGCCATCTATGCTGAAACGCATTCAGTCCTAGCTCCACAAGGCCGTCTAGAAACAGCGAGGAACCAGCCCCTGCTGTGTCAGCCCCGCCCCCTGGGTGCATGCTGGGGAGGTGTCATCCTTTGTGAGGAATGAAGAAATGCACCATGCCTTGGCGCTTGCCCCGCTCCCACACCCTTCTGCCAGAGACCCTCAGATCTGTCCCACTCCTGCCCAGGCCCCCACAGGCACCCTTGACGCGAACGATGTAGAACTGGCCATGCCCACCCAGTAGGCCACACCCATTCCATCCACGCCCACCCAGTAGGCTGCACCCACCCTGGCCACACCCACCCGGCCCCCCGAGGGCAACCGCAATGCTGATGTGGCCCTCAATGAAATTGAGTTTGACACCCCTGTTCTAGTTGTTTTAAATTTAGGATGATAAAATTCAAAAGGAAAGGTTGAAATATGATGTTCAAAAATTGGTTTCTTATAATCCAAGTAGGCAAATTGTATTCTTTAGTACAATTACTCTTTGGCTTAATCATCTGATTCAGGATTAACCCTGGGAATTCTACACATCATTTCAAGAAAAAAAAGTTTCTATTCTTTACGGTGGCAAAAAGGAGTTTGTATATAATAAAAATGTACGTCATAGGATTGCCCAGTAGTCCCAAGGCTATATTTTGCACTGCCTTGGTTTATGTATGAAGGAAATACAACAACAGTTCTCAAAAATATTTGTTCCCTGTGCTAAAATGACTGAATCCAAGAAAAAGTTTAAGTCAGTTTCAGGATAGTCACTTGCTTTACCAGGTGTCTCCATAATTCCCTCCAACCTGGAAAGAGTTTGCAGTCCCTTTGGGGGAGGTGATGGGCTGGGGAAGGCTGAAGTACGGTGAGTTTACCTTGGATGATAGCCAAGGAGGAGGAAAGATGCCTGAGAGCTTAAATTGTTTTACACATTACGTAGATTGTCTGTGCAATCATTTTTATTTTTAATTGTAAGAGAGATGCTATGGAAAGAGGATCTGCTCTGCAAATAAGAGTGGCTGGTTGGAGGGAGAAAGCCTTTTGGAAATAAAAGGCACTTCACCTGATCACAGCTTTAACATTCATTTTTAAACACAGTAACTCCCCCCCCGGTTAATTAATTCCCCCTTTTAAAATAGAGAGAGAGAGAGAGAGAGAGAGAAAGAAAGAAAAGAAAGAAAGAAAGAAAGAAAGAAAGTTACTGATAGCTATTTTTAGAGGCAAGGCTAATATTATTCTTTATCATCTTTTACTGATCTGGATCCCCCCCCCCTTTTTCGGCTCAATCAGTGTTTAGAACTGGTAAAAGACATCAGGGTAGAGAGGGCAACGCATTGTCATTTCTGCCCCTTTCCAATTATACATTCATCCCCAAAAGTACAAAGCAAAAATACAATTCCATTCTTTATGAATCATAAACTAGGTTTCTTTTGCCCTTAAACTGGCATTTTGAACTATGTTCACTCATGGTGCAAAAGAGACCTTGAGGGTAAAGGAAGGAACCAAAGGATGGGGGAAAAAAGGTAGCTCTCAAATGAGTGATCTTCTGAATAGCCCAAATTCAATCCTTAAAACAAAAACTGGTGTGTGTGTGTGTGTGTGTGTGCACGCACACACATACACACACATATACACCAGTTTTTGTACACACACACACACACACACACATATCAGTTATATATATATCATAATGTCCTCCACAGCCACTTCTTATCCTGGAAAACCTGAAAGAGGAAGTAAAAGAGGTGACCCAAATCGCTAGTTCTTTCCACAGAAGAAATTCAACTGTTTTGAAGGAAGTGGTTTCCCTAATTATGTGAACTATGTGAAAGCTCTCAGAATAGCTTTTCTGCCCCAGGATTCTTTGCACTTTAGAAGTTTGCATAAAAGCTCACGTGGAGACTTGGAT